ACACACACACACACACACACACACACACACCCCCCCCCGTTAACCTGACAGTATCCCTTCAAAGGGACAGACTATATTCTAGGAATATATAGAACATTGTCATTGTTTACTGAACTCATATTAATTGTAGGATCATAGGAAAGTAGAGCTGGAAGGGATCTCACAAGGACATCTAGTTCAGCCCCCTGCTCAAGGCTGAGAAAGTACTAGAGAAAGTACAAAATATTTAATACAGTGAAAAATGATAAAGATTCAAAGAACATTTCTCCAGTATACCACTACTAAGTGCAGTTAGACAGAAAGTGAAGTCAAGATGTCTAAGTGCTTCACAAACTCAGGCTTCAAAACACTAGGGAGATGGTTATGCCCATTTAGTAAGTGGGGAGGAGTGAGGTCTGGAAAGTAAGGCCTAAATCATCCCAAAATATCCACTCATTTGGGGTGCCAATGTTTGTATGCTCAACTTGTTGCTGCTTAAGGCTGATCCGTCTGCAGAGATGCTTTTCACCCACAACTCCACTTGACTTCAATAAATGTCATAAATACATTTAATTTTTCAGTATCTTGAACAAATTAAACTGTAGCTGTCTCAAAACCAAAACAGACAGCATTAATGGAGACTTTTGGAAATGTAAGTCTAAGTGATTTGCAGTAAGATACACACCAAGATAATTATAGAGATCAGAATAGATCCAAAGAGTCCTGGTTCCCAGTCCTTTGCACTCCATGGAACTACACCCCCTCCTTGTCACCACGCAGAGCAAGAGACAGGTGGAGGGAAGAGACGGAAGAGGAAAAACAGGAGAATTCCTAATGTAATAGCCTGACTGCAGCATTTAACAGAAGCTCAAACTTGCAGTGAGCAGCAGTGGAGACTGCGATCCTTCACATCTCTCTTTGTTCTTTACAAATCAGGTAGAACATGCAAACCACATAAACACCAGTTTCTGTAGCAACTGCCAGGATGCCTCATTTTTTAATAGCTTGGTATTTGTAACAGGAAACCCATGAGAATAGGCTGAGTTACATAAAGGCACTTCTCTCAAGGTATTATTCTGAGACACTAAGGCAACCTGTCAACTCATGCTAATCCTATGACCCTGCTACAGCTGTATGGGTCTGTTTGACACAGCAGGAAAGTATGAAACAGGCCTCTGTAGTTCAACACCAAAGGTACAGGTGGGGTAATCTCCGTCACCCAAAGTAGCAAAAATATTGGCAAGGCAGCCTTATTAATAACACACATGCATGGTGCATTTCCAGACCCTTGCACTGTGGAGTTACAGAGGAAGGAGGTATTAAGTCTCCCTCCTCGCCCATGTTGTCTTCACAGTGCTGCCAATCTGCAGTGGTCAGGAGTGGGCAAGAGACTCTGACAGTCAACTTTTAAGACACACGCATGTCCTCACTGTGCCAGTATTTGCCGTGCCTATTGGACAGGCTTTGTAGCTTGCACTGTGCTCTGTGCTGCCATTGCTAGGTTACTACCAGTTACTGAGATAGCAAGTTTAAAACTAGGTTGGATATATCTGTACTACGCTGCAGCCCTGACAGTGCTTCGCAGTACAAACATATCCTCATTAGATGGGGCACTGTATACCTTAGTTGTACTGATTTTTCTCAGGTGATAATAAGAGTATTATTTAAGGAGGCATTTGTGCTAAAGGTACAAACCCATGTTTCAGGAAACCTGGACTCTTTACTAGTCTCCCACAGACGTGCTCTGTGACCTTAGGCAACGAACATGCCTCATTATTGAATGGTGATAATGCCAGTGTTTTAAGGGTCATTTACTAGTGCTTAGGTCAGAAGATGTCATTGGAGCTGCTTCACTGGACATTTTTCTATTGGTTTCAGTGGGAAGAGAATCAAGTCCTAAAAGAACACGATATTACTGCTATGCTCCCCGGCAGGGAGTTCACCGATATCTTCCTCCTGCTGCTGTGGAGCCCTCTGGTGGAACGTGTGTTACACTGTCCCAGACGCTGGAACAGCTGCTGCCTTTGAGAGAAAGAACCTTAAGCGCTGTGAAAAAATGTGTAAGACTCGAAGCGATGCCTATTTATTTTCCTTTGCTGCTTTTCTGACTGAGCCAGTGCTCCACAGTCAGAACTTGCACAGCCTCCTGTTTTGTTTTGTTTTTTTGTATGCATTTGGCTAATGCATTTTCAAAGATAACCTATTTTTCTAAACAGGGCTTTGGAGGGAACATCACACCTGTGCAGACATCTTACACAAGGACTATGCACCATGTTAAGTCCTATTTAAGACTTGCAAAAAGGACTAAAATGGTGCATAGTCCTTGTGCCTAGCCTCATGCAGAAGGGTTGGAGACTACCAGTAGAGAATAAGCACACTGGAGAAGTATACCAGCAGTAGAGAAAGAAATGTTGCTATAAATTGCGGTGATGAAACAGTTGGTCAAAGGGATACCTTTAACCCAACTCTATCATAACAGGCAAAAAACTTCATTAATGCAATAGTAACCCTTTTGCTGGCCATTTTTTTCTGAGAAATAGGGAAAAAGGATAAGTTTTACTTAGGTTCAACATACCACTGGCACTGTACGATTTTTGTAAAATCTGTTTCATCCAGTCATACAGAGCTCTTTGTGCATTTGCTGTTGTTTTGTCATAGAGGTCCTTGAACATGACAGACCTAAATGATACAATGATGTATGCACATTATTTGATGAATGGAATCTTTTTTAATGGTACAGATATGCAACCACACTTTCAAAGCAGCAAAAATGAATGAAAACTAAACACCTGGAAACCACAACCACTATATTAGACTCATTTAGGAAAAATATATTAATCAGAAACCAAAATTAATTATTAATTGTTTTCATCAAGAAATAAATGGCTTACAAGTTTCTGAAAGCATCTTCCTGAAGATCTTTTGGGAGGTTGCCAATGACAGCAGGTTGAAGATAGCTCACTGAAGATACCCGCAAAATCTGGCTTAGTATATCCACACATTCCATAGCACTCAAAGCCACAAAGCATTTTTCCAGTGTAATAAAGAACAGTGTCCTGTTTATTCCTGGGCTTTGAAAAACTCTCTCTCTAATCCCGTCCAAATCCAGAACAACACTTCCCAATTCCTGCAGGTATCAAAGGGTTAAGAGAATATATTTCTTCTGATAATCAACTTAATATAGTATTCATTTCTGAGGCATGACAAGAAGCACTATAGAAACAACAAGCTACTGTTCTGAAATAGTGTAGCTGTAAAACACTGAGTCGGATTCCATTATTTGAGATTATTCTTTTCTACTATGGACTGAAGGCCTGATCAAGCCTCTCAGCAAAATGAAAAGCAGCATGAAGCACACATGAAGATGTATGTACTTGAGAAATCGTGAAAGTCTTTGGCACAGAGTGGTCAACTGTCCTTTTACCCATGTCCTGTCTCAAGAAGACATTACCAAACAATCCCTCTCCAGAACTGAGTAAACACAAAGAAGCATACTGCAGGAACAATCTTATTGCAACAGAATGATGGTCTAATAAGTCATTTCCCCTCTCAAAAAGTCTATGGTTCTGAGACAGCATGTGAAGGACCAATATTTCAGGGTCAGTTCTAGGGAGTGTGACTTTGCACCACAGCAATATCAATCCTGGTAGTTACCTGTCAATATAATGGGAGAAAATGACACTTGCACCTCACCAACAGAGACCTCTTGCTGACTGGTATTAGTTACAGAGCTTCCATGTAGAGCGTGCACAGACTCATGTGCTCTGACACTATGATCAAAGTCACAAAGGCCTGAGAGTTAAGCAGACTCTCCAGTTATATTTATGCTGGCCACCTATCCAACAGGGAACACCTGTCTTTACTCCAAGTTTGGTCTCCATCCCCGAAGGGAGGAGTGTGTTGTTAGCCTCTCTACCCAGTGAGAAAGGCTCTTTTTTCCATATCCAGGTGATGGTCCTGGTCTTGCAGTGTGATTTCAAAATTCACATGGAGCCCCACTGACTTTGTTGGGACTTCATGCGGATGTAAAAAGCCAGCGTATAGATCACACTGCAGTATCAGGCCCTATGTTGGAAGAGATTGCTCTGTCTCATACTCAGCTGCTTGGACACTGTTTCCATCTTTCCACACACTGCCAACAAGATATGTAAGAGACCAGATGTTAGAGTGTGGGACATTCACTGTGACCCCTAGCTTGGCCTTTTTCCATTTATCCAAGGCAGCTCTTACTTTTCACATGCACTCTGTGTAAAGTGACTTACCAAATGATGCTTTTTGCTGCTGAAGAGAAATTTCATTGCAGTTTGAAATTGCTGATGATCAGTCTGTTGAAAATCTGACAGCAGTTGTTTGGGCTGGTATAAAAGATTCTCCAAGTTGTTTTTTATAGAAGTCTACAACACAGAGAAACACACACACACACATATATTTATATTTTGCTCATGGTGTTATTACTAGCTTAATCTTTTACTCCCTGAAAACTTTGTGTAAATAGAAGTAGGGACATATTTCAGCACATCACCTGCAGGGTACAGGACCAGGGTTCCTAGTACTTACCAGGTTGCAAGGCATAATTTTTTACATCATTTTGAAAATAAAGAATATGAAGGACTTTGCCGACTAAGGCTAAATTGAAAAAAAATACACAGCTGGGTATGGGGAAAAGTGTGTGCCAAGGTATTAGGCTAAAAGCCACTTTCTCCCCTTATACTCTGTTTCCAGTTAAAAATCTCAGACCTGTTCTGAAACTCTGAGAGGAAACAGAAAGCATCACAGGGCTGATGAGTGCTAGCACTTTGCCTTCACTTTTCACTGGGCTGAAGTAAAAATTTATGCTAATTTTTAACTGAACTCTTTGACAATTAGCTTGAAGTTCAGGTTGTAACTATTTTGTTGTTTTTGTACAGAAAGATATCCATTGCATGCAGGGCACATTTAGTTTTCTTAGAGCTCTAAATATCTTCCACTCCAGGAAGACAAGACTGACTAATGGTGCTTTAAAACACTAACAAAACTAATCTGAATAAGCAAATGTTAAAAATCATTAGAAGCAGAGAAATATATTGCCTTTTTCTTAATGAACATGGCAATATGAGCGATGCAGTAGCCTGACTTTTTTGGGTGCACAAGTAGTTCTATCATTTACCAATGATATAGTGTGACTATGTATTACTGAAACCATTATTAATGTATGACCTATTGCTGGAATACAGCTGGCTCAGAGGGGAGTATAAATCCTTAAACCGCTTTATCCTTATACAAATTGTTTCAAGGAGTTAAACAACTAATTATGTTTTCTAATTTATGCTGTAATCTAATAACTAGTAATAAATTGAAAGCTTCACTTTAGGTAAAATTCTAACCAGAGCCTCAGCTCCACTGACTTCAAAAGAGCTGTATCATTTTCCATCAGATTAGGATCTGGCCCTTCAGGCTGCCCCCCCTACATCAGTGATTACCTTGTACACTAAATTGTCCTGTAAATTTTATTTCCAAATTCAGGTTATAACCCTTCATTTCTACTTCAGATCAACAAGCCCTATGTACTCAACTACTCACCACAGTCATCAATAAGTACTTTAAGCACATAACAGAGCTCTTGTGAAAAACCCAAAACTTTAAATTAAAAACAAGACCTTAATATAAGCAACACTTCAGATTTGGAAGAGCACTGGAACCCTAGGAAACTCTGAACTGCACGGCCACAGACTTTGCAAGATGGAATTAGACCCCACACTGCACATTACAGATTATTCTTATTTGGGGGAGCAAATTCAGCTCTAGTTTAGGAGGCTGCAACCCTACCAGTGCCAATAAAGTTACACCCAATCAAAATTTGGCCACCCACCAATTGTAATGATTGATGGGTGAAAGGTGAAAGTGTCTTCTGTAAGGTACTCTAATGCGTCACATTCCCTCAGAAGCAAGGCAGACCACAGCTACCTGGGAGGGGAAGTCTTTCATTTTGGGGAGAAACAGTGTAGCAGGGTTGCTAAGCCACAAATATAGCAGAAAACAGTACATTAAAGCCTTCAGTGCTTTCCTGTATTATTGGTGTCTTAATGCTTTACAAATTGCTGATGACCACAAAACCCAAGTAGTCTATATTGCCCTGCTGTCTCATATAGACTTATTGGCCATCTCTAAGATTCAATTGCTGAATTTGGACTAAAGATACTAGCTGTCTTAATCTGTTTTTCCCTTTTCTTTGATAAGAATGTTTTGGTACATTAAAAAGTACAAACCTGGAGGCTGCCAACTGTAAATATAACTTCCTGATCATGAAAATAGCCCATAATTTTTTTAAGCATATCTGGTGTCCATGCATTAGTGCTACAATGAAAAAAGGACATAAAATACCAATAAAACAACTATATAAAACTGCATGAGTTCGTAAGAGAATATAAACAGACAACAGAAAAGCACCATTATGAGTTATGCCCATATTAATGGGCCTTTGTTCAACTTTGACACAACAGATTTACAAAAACTGCAACCTGCTGAATGCAGTGAAAAAAAGTTACCTATCAAAAAGCTGTTGAAATAAGGCAGCATTTATTTACAGCCTCATTCTTGTTTAGGCATAAGAAGTGGTAGTATGCCTATTAAAAAGATATAAAACCATTGTCACTGTGGTTCTAAAATCATAATAACCTGATGTACCCATCCCATTCTAACCATAATGTTGTAATTCATATGTAAATTTAATATAGCTTATATTTACAGTGCAGGATGATATTTATATCTGAGTTACAAATTACCTTTGAAAATGGAGTATATCAAGGAAAGCTATACCAGAAAAAACAAATACAATGGTTTATTATACTGTACTATACTTGAAAATGTTTTAAAAATATAAAAAGGGAAAATTTTGCACATTACCATTAAGATATTTTCCAGCTATTACTTCCTCCTAAAGAGCAAAAATGATAAATATATATGTAACAATACCAGCATTTTTAGATTACAGAGTTTTGGTAGATATATTCAATAAAAATACGTACCACAGCCTTGTGTAATAATGGAGGCAAATCTGTAAGAAAGTACTGACATTATACAGCTTTTAATTTTTTTTTTAATTAGACAAACATATGTCTATGATAAAGTCAATTGATTTAAATGAATGCAGCTTTGGTCAAATATATTTTCCAAGGTCCCTTCCAGCCCCAATGTCTATGAAATCCACAAGTAAACAGTACTAATAAAAATAGAGTTGGGGGTTTCCTCAAATAAAAGTAAATATTTCTAAATAAAATGTTACATACAACAAAGTGGGCAAAATCTTGGCTGTCATAACTCCAGGAAGTTATAACAAGGGCTTTGATTCCATTTTGCCAATTGTGGCGTGTCAATTTTACTATACGACTTTTTTCAAAACCCACCAACTATTTCCCCAAACAAGATTTCTGATCTTACCTTCAGAGTTCTGACTACTTGTCATTTCCACATGATTCATTACTAATAAGAACCAAATCCATTGATTTTTGGACATTTCTCCTACTGTTATTAGAACCAGAAGATGTTTGGAGTGCAAAAGAAAATTTAAAAAAATTAAAGAGTAAAAGTGAAAAGACAATATTTATACAAAATTTTCAGTTCTAAATTAAAGATAACACTGACCTACTAAGTTTAGAGATCAGAATTGCTCTAAGAAGCAAGAGTGGTTTGGATTTCAGATCTCAGCTTAGGCCCTTCTCCATTATATTAAGGGGAAAAGGGTAAATGCATGTACAGTCTTAGTCATATCACAGTCAGTCCTACCTACCTTATATTAGGTAGGTCTTTAATTTTACTTTCTATAGAATTTAAGTCATATTCTAGCTAAAGGATGAATGCACTTTAATAAAGAGGAAATATACATCTTTGAAATGGCATACTACTCTTTATAGCTGTGGCAAAGCAAAGAGCCAGGGGGCCAATGGATTCTCAAATGAGTAAGAGAACAAATCCTGAAAAGAAAAACAAAAAGTTTGAAAGCAAGTGACAGATAAACCATTCCTGATGATTACTAGAGTATCTCATGCACACATGACCCTTGAGAAACCCCTGTATGAAAGCCCCTACCGTATCTGTTGACCTCATACTATTGGGACATACTTCCTGCAGGGCAAGCAGTGGAGTAAGAACTTGTGAGGGAGCTCTGCAGGGAAGTACCAAAGGAAGGGTTCAACCAGACCCACACCTGAAGTTTTACAGGTAGCCGGATTTCAGTCAATGTCTGTCACTCTCAGAATGAAAACCAATCGAGTAAGGAGACAGAGGCCCACGCACCCTGGACCATGTGCCCCCAGATTTTGAGATCGCGGCGTGGCATCCTACCTTCTCACACAGCGACGCTTTCTTTGCACGCACGTTTAACTATCCGGCTGTCCTTCTGGTGACAGAGCTTGGATCCTTTCTCTCCCCCCGGTAGCTCAGACGCTCCCTCCCAAACAAGAGCTGCTCTTTGTTCCTAAGTCGCCTTCATTTTACGTGCCAATTCCCTGCCACCGGGGACATCGCTCCACTTTTTCTTGACCATAAACCTTTCCCGTCTGCCCTGCCCAGCAAATGAAAGACAGAGCCAAGCTCCTGCAGGAGAAACCGGTCTAAACCTCAGAGTCCGGCGGGGAAGCGGCGGCCTCACAGGTCCCAAATCCATCCGGTGCTGCCTGAAAAGCTCAGGGCTCTTCTCTTTCAGCGGCTCCCCCGGGAGGGCTCCGGTACATCCGTCCCATTCAGCCGGATCCAGTTTCCCACACAATGAACTTTCTTGTGTCTGCCTCCCCCGTCCCGCGCCGCTCGGCACGGGGCTGGCCCGAGGGTTTCCACCCCGGCGCTGAGGGCTGAGGGCGCGGGGCCGGGGCCGGGGCCGGGGCCGGCTCTGGGGCCCGGACCGCGGGGGTCGCTGGGGCACGGGCCGTACCTGGCGGCGGCAGCTCTTCCCGGGCTCCAGGTGCGCGCCAGCATCCCGCCGCCCGGACCCGCCCAACGTGGGGCACTGCACGTGCTGTGGGCATTTGGGCGGGCATATTTAAAATAAAGCTCGGTGGAGTTGTTTTAAAGGAGCTAGCCCAAGTTCCACAACTTCGTTAGCTCATGGGTTTAGTTAAACTTCACATGACCTTTAGCGTGGTCAACTATTTTAAGAATGGTGTCTTGCACTGCTTGTGTTTCCTCTTTTGACAATGCCAGACTAACCCCTAGCATTTGGGCGTGTGCGGTCATGGCGTTTGTGACACGCTGCTGCTTGCATCCGTACATGTGTTGCCAAGTCCAGCTGTAGGACGATATGCTGTAGCCAGCCAGCTATAAAAGGATGCTGAACTTCCTTCATTTGAATGGTTGCAACTTCACAACAAACTCACCGAGAATAGACTATGGGATACAATTAAAGGTAGGTCTTTCCCCACCTCTCCCCCTCGAACAGAGTGATTAAAGAAGTCAGTTGGCTTTTACACAGGGCCAACCTACAATCACAGGGAAGAGAGGATCCTGCCACACTGGCCACCTGTTAAGGGCACCAGGCGAGGTTATCTGCTCTAACATGGTAACAGGCTCAGCTCATGCAGGGAAAGGCCAAAGTGGCTGTGTGACCTGCAGTTCTGGGGAGGGGCAAGCATTCCCTCCGAAGATTGAAGAGCAGTGTGGCAAGTTGAAGTTTCCAGGCCTCTGGGTTTTCTTTGGGAGCTGGGAAGCCCTGTGGCAAACCACCAATGAAGGCTTAGAGCCAGGACATGACCCACAAGGTGAACTGGCTGGAAACCATGCAGAGCCTGTGTCTGCATGGCAGTGGAAGTTGGTCAAAACCAACAGTGAACCATTAGGGAAACTAAACACAAAATTCCCCTGCAACCACCTACTCTCTTCTTTCTCGCATCCCTCAAAAAATGAGGAAATTTGGATTTTGAACTCCTAAAACCAGGCATATACAGTCCAGTGTTTTGGCTTTGCACATCTCAGAATTTGAATCAAACTGTAATTAAAATCTAGCTTTTTAATAATAGCATCTTCTTTTAAATCTGTTTAGAGTTTCCATTTAACTAAAAATGTTGGCAGAAAGCAGAGTAGCACCTTAAAGATTCTTAACCAGGTTGCTGAAACACCCGTGGCTGCCCTAAGATTTTGTTAAGGGTGCTGTTGCATGCCACACAATATTAGCTCTGTTACATGTGCAAGCACCTACATCCGATTCAGAAGATAATTCTTATTTGAAATTTCTGGGTTTAAGTGTCAAAGCATTCGGATCTTGTGCGGTCTTTCTGAATTCTTTGTCATAGTAAAAAAACAAGTGTAAGTTAAAAGTTAGCATTTTCCCAGGGGTGCCTGGAGCCTAAAACAAAGTTGAGAACCACTCCATTAGAGACTAACTGGTTCAAAGAGGCATACACTTTTGTAGGCAACAGCTTACTTTGTTATAGCATCTGACAAAGTGGGCTGTCACTTATAAAAGCTTATGCTTCTCTGAATCAGTTAGTTTCTAAGAGTCCTGGCAGACATGTATTGCACAATTAACATGATAATCATGCAATAAACCATAACAAGCCACAGGTTCAGGCAATTTATGAAACCATACAACGGCAAACCACTCACAAAGGTGTTCCACATTCAATGTGAAACATCTTTGTGGCTGGTTTGTAATTGAATAGCTTTAATGGAAATGTATGGCATAGAGCCCAGCCTCAGGCTGCACAGCATGGCTTTAAATGTCCCCATATGGGAGCTGGTGGGCTCTCCCTGTGTGAGGACATTTAAAACCACCCTGTGCAGCCAATGCCAGATTTATGGCATAGGCAGCTAGGGACCCAGGAGGTCCCAAATTCCTAGTTGCATGCACTCCAGTGCAGAAGCAGCATGTGTGTTGCCAGGAACTGGGAGCTCCTCATCCATAGCTCCTCATAGCCCAGTGTACCCTTACAGCCAGTTGCATACCACAGCTTATGAGCAATAGGATGGGAGGAGTTCTGCCTCCCACCCTGTTTCTAACAATCATGTATCCTGTCATGCCAGACCTTGAATGTCAGTCATGGCAGGATATGGGATTGTTGAGATCTGGGGAAAAAAAATCCTTTGGATCCCATCGCACCATTAAATTAATGTCCACCAGAGGCCTAAGGTGATACCCTGCTCTGCCTTCTGCCTGACTTCAGACTAACTCTCTCTCAATATTTGTCTTTACACATATTGATACAAAATTTTAATCAGCAGCCTTGGGCAAAAGTATCTTTGGTAAAGTGGCTTTTTTTTTAATGGTAGTACTTTTCATGCTTTTAACCTGGTGTGTCTTTTCTTTGGTTATTCAATTCTCCTGTGGCCTTTTGTGAACTTTACCTGAAGTTACACTCCAAAAGTTGCATTTTGTCAATTACACTCATGGAAAATTATATTTTCCCTTAAACTGAACCTGAAAATGTGGAGTCAACTTGATCTTTCATATACAACTTACGATTGGAACCATATGGTTCCAGATAATAGTCACGGATGAGGACAGTAAAAAAAAAAAAAAAAGACTGTAATTATGTAGTAAACTAGTTGAATGATTGGTCTTCTGAATGTATTGTATTGCATTAAAAGGGTAACCAGCACTGGCTCCTAGCAGGTAGATCCTGCTGGACTCATCTTGTTTCTTTTTACAACCAGGTTACAAAATGCTTAGATGCAGGAGTCAAGGTTGATGACATTTACTTAGATTTTAAAAAGGCCTTCAATATAGTGTCTCACCCCATTCTCATAAATAAACTAAGTGGCTGTGACATAGATGATTATACGGTCAGGTGGGTGGTGAATTGGCTTAAGGGATGCACCCAGAGAGTGGTTGTGGATAGGGTGGTGTTGACGTGGAAAAAATGTAGGCAGTGGGCTACTGCAGGGTTCAGTCCTCGGACCAGTGCTGTTCAATGTCTTCATCAGTGACGTGGATGAGGACATGGAGAGCACTCTGTCCAAATTCATGGGCAACACCAGATTATGGGGAAAAGTAAACATACTAGTGGGCAGGGAATGGAGCAGATTTGGACAGGTTGGAAGTGGGCAGAGCAGAATAGGATGGAGTTTAACAAAAATAAGTGCAAGGTACTGCACCTTGGGAGAAGGAATCTCCAATACAGACTGGGAGATGACTTCCTAAGCAGCACAGCAGCAGAAAGGGATCACAGAGTCAGTTGACTCCAGGATGAACAGGAGTCAATATAACAAAGGGATCAGCAAAGCTAACCGCACTCTATCCTGCATCAGCAGGTGCATCACAAACAGATCTAGGGAGGTGATACTTCCCCTCTATGTGGCATTACTAAGGCCACAGCTGGAGTACTGCATTTAGTTTCAGGTGCCACACTTCAAGAGGGATATGGAAAACCTTGAGAGTCCAGAGGAAGGCTACTCAGATGGTTAGGGGTCTGCAGGTAAGGTCCTATGAGGAGAGATTGAGGGATCTGGATCTCTTCAGCCTCTGGATCTCCTCTCAGCCTTCTCTTGCAGTGGCCATCTGCAAATTCATTGGCAGGGGGTGGGGGGCAACAAGAAATAGGAGATTCTCTATAGGAGGTGTGTGCAGGGCACCCTTTGGAGTCACTAGAAACAATGGCCACAAACTGACAAAAAGCAGATTTAAATTAAACATCAGGACGAACTTCTTTAAGGTAAGGGTTACCAGAGTCTGGAATGGGCTTCCAAGGGAGGTGGTGCTCTCCCCTACCCTGGAGGTCTTAAAGAGGAGACTGGACAAGCACTCAGACTCTAGCGCTTTCCTGCTCAGGGCAGGGGATCAGACTCAATGATCTACTAAGGTCCCTTCCAACCCTACACATCTAAAATCTATGAAAATTAATAGTAAAAAAGGAACTTAGATGAGACTTGTCAACTAAAGCCACGATCCCACAAAAGACAGACACACAAAAGGAACTCCATCTACTGCAAGTAGTAGTTAAAAACAATGGGACTATTTACAGTGTGTAAAGATGCATTTAAGTCCTCTCAGGGTCAGGCCAAAGTGCAGGCTGGTGTGAGCAGAGGTAAATATATAAGAATCTGTTCACATATTTCCTCTTTTGTTTTTCATGATCCAATGTTTTCATTTACTCATTTGAACACAAAGCAAGAAATAAAATGAAAAAGAATAAAGTTTATTTACAGTAGTGTTCCTAGGGATGGGGTATTGGGTGCTAAGGGTAGAGGAGCACCAGAATGGAGGCAGAGGAGTGCCAGAGTGGAGGTAGTGGGGCTTGGGACTCTGGGCAGGAAAAATGAGGTCAAGAGTCTCCTTGTCAGCCTCATACACTCCCCCACACCATGAGAATCATCAGTCATTAATAGAACTTGTTTAGACTTAAACATTGAAAATAAAATGGTCAGTCAGTTCTTCTTTACCTGCCAACAACCACATTGAGATTTCTGTTCTCTTTCCCAAGACCTAGACATGCTGCTTACATTTCAGGTACAATGAGTCAAACAGCTGCCACCTCTCTATTAGGTGTTGGTGATGCTGCTAATTGTTGTTATGAGATGCTAAAAACCCCTAAGTATCTGAATCTGGCTTAATGACCAATTGGCCTTTTTATTTACCTAGTCAGGGCTGTACCAGGTTAGTGAAGTGGCATATTTAATTGCCTACCTGAGATGTCACATTTCTCACAAATGTCAAGATCAAGTTTCTGAGAGTTAGATTCCCTAAACACTTGTAATTACATGTGAATCAGCAACCTTGGATTCAACTGAGCTATGCAGTTCTCCAGTAGTTATTTTAATTGTACACAATATGCTTTAAGTGCTGATTTACTAACTTGGGAGAGAAGAACCAAAACACCACCCTCCCACAGTCCTCTGCTACATTGCTAACATTTCAAATAAAGACCAGGTAGTTCTCCTCAGAGGAACTGTAATGCGACAATTATGTTCTCTAGCTAGCAAACAAGCTCAGCTTTGAAATACAGGCAGATCTGATTATACTGAGGTGTAGCAATCTGAGAGTCAGGAGGTGTTCCACATACCTTAAAACAGAAACTCCTTTCTGAAAGTCATGAATTTTAAGGATAATAATGTGTCAAAATTTATTAGATTAGCTATTTCATGACACAGGCCCAAAATTTCACATGTAAAAGTCTTCCTTTATGTCAACCAGATTCAAAATGAAAGAGTTGTTAAATAAACAAATGCAATCTATATAGTTTATTACACTAATCTTTCCCATGTAACTGCATTAAAGTAGGGATAGACAATTTTTTCCAACAGTGGGCCACTTAACTAGTTTTGGTGAGCTGTTGAGGGTCATGCATGTAAGATATTTCAGAAGATATGATTTTGACAAATTATAGGTAAAAAATATATAATGAAAATCAAACATCTACTACAACATTTTATTTAAAAAAATTTTTGTCCCGATTTATGTTTTTTTGAGTAGTATATATGGAGGTGATTGCATAAGAGCTCAAAATAGTTTTACTTTTGTACACTGTGGTATAGGTGTGTGTGTGTGTGCATGGGGAGGGGCTGCCCAGGCGCTAGGGCCTGGGACCCAGCTGGGGGGTGGTGGGAGGGAAGTAGGGGGAGTGGGGTGGGAAGGAGGTGTGTGCAGCAGAGCTTGCCTGGGTGGGGTGCAGGTACAGTTCACTGCCCCCCCCAGATGCCCTCGTGGTGCTCTGCATGGGGCCAAGCCCTGCCCTCACATGGGGCAGCCTGCGCTGTGCTTCCACTCCATGCCTGCCAGTCAGCACTGCCCCAGCCAGTGCGCACAGCTTTCTGGTGGGGCTGCTCCTGGTGCAGCCGTAGCTGCCTAGGTACAGCTCAGCCCCTCATCTTTCTGCCCCTCCTGCACTGCTCCAGGCAGCGCTTGGAAGCCGTGAGGATGCGTTCCAGGCACTACATGCCTAGCCAGGTAGGGTATTGGCTGGGGGGGAAGCTGCAGCCAGACAACCAGCTTGTTCCTGGCTGCCTTCCACCGACTTAGCTGCCCACAGGTGGCTGCTCATTGCACTGGGCAGGCTGAGTGGGTAGAAGGTGGCTGGGAGCTGGAGTCCTGGGGTAGGAGCCACCTGACTGGGCATCTGCTGCCTGGCATGCATCCCCACAACTTCTCTGTGCTGCCTGAAGTGGTGCAGCAGGGGCACAAGGAGCTGCCACACCAGGAAGATGTGTGTACTGGCCGGGGTTAGGGCAAAGCTGTCTGCTGCGCATGGGGCAGGTGCAGGCAGAAGCATGGCATGGGCTGTCCTGGATGGCAGCAGGTGAGGCTCAGCCCTATGTGGAGCGCTGTGGGGGCAGCCAGGCCAGATGCAATCAACTGTGGATCTGGCCTGTGGGCAGGCATCCACATCAGTCGGTGGGCCAGATCCAGCCCATGGGCTGTATTTTGCCCACCCCTGCATTAGGGCCACATAACAGTTTAGGTAGTGAAGGTATTCAGGTAAGAAGTCTTTGGAAAAAATGAGGTTCTGCTGCAGATGAGAGATGCAGGCTGTGGCTGTAGGTTGTCTTCAGTCATTTTAAGCCTCTATGGCTGCCACCCTCCAGTTTTAGGCCCAGATGCTCAAAGGTTACTTTGAAGATATGGGCCTTAGTTCTTAAAGGTGTTTTGCTCAACTCCTGGAAATCTGCCATGAATAAATGTTGACATTATTCATCAGAAAAGGCTGTGAAAGCTGATATGCCTTAGCTGGAAGGGAGAAGGATGTAAACAAGTCAAGAAAATTAATGAAAGAACATCTTCTTTCTCTCCACAAAGGAGAAATGGTTCCTATTACATCAGTGAGTAACAAATTACTTAAATGCTAATCAATGAACTCAAGATTGTGCTGCTACTAAGTTCTTACTTGTATATTGAACAATCATGGCTACAGTTACAAAAATGAACACAAAAATGAAGGCAAAAACATCATCTCAAAAAGTTTATTAGCATGATTAAAAACATGAAGAACGACAGTCAGAGGTCAAGTAACTTCTTAACATGGAAGAATATCCATTCCGACACTTTATAGTCAACAATGTTTTTGAACTGAATGGACAGCCTTATGGCCAGATTTCACTTGATTGCTTTAACAACAATCCACACCTTGTATCAGTTTGCGTATCATCATGACTATTGCTTCTGTCCAATTCTGATTCCTACTGCAATTAATTATAAAAAAATATCTTCCATTACTCTTGGATTGCAGAATGCATTGTTAAGAGTTGGTAAAAAATTCTGAACTGAAGAGTGTTTTAAAAAAACTGTCCTTTCTAACCGTACTACAAAGAAATACATTAGTATTTTGGCCTTTAAAATTCTTACATGGTATTTTTTTAGAATGGCAATCCCAAATTCCTCTCCCTTTAAGTAATCATACAACAAACACCTCTTTCAGAGGCTGCTTCTTGGGTTTGACTCTGAAGATTTACTTCACATATACTTACACTGGCTTGAGGACGAAGACAGCATCATCTAATACATAGTAGTCATTATACATATCACCTTCACATAAGTATGGCAGTCTGGTGAAAGCTTCAATGGCAAAACCAGCTTTCCTGAAAACTTCCGGCAGGCTATTGACCTGTTCTTCCCAAGTGTGCCCCTTGATTTCCAAAACTTCTGAGGGCTTTTCCCACTTGCCACCTACTAAGAGAACAAAGAACTTTATTTAAAAAAAATTTTAAAAACCTTTCCTGTCTATGGTATTCTCTTTGCAAAGCTGCTTACTTTCTACTCCAGAGTTTATGACCCATCCCCAAAACACATGGCTGGCAAAGCATCTGTAAAGCTCTATAGAAAGACCATCACACTGAGAGGTTTGGCTGGAGTTCAGAGGCAGGTGCCCCATAAAGCTCATTTTTTGTTAAGTTCTTTTCAAAGGGTTTTCAAAGTCCAAGCACAAGTCCACTTAGCCAAGTAATTAACTCCAAATGGAGTGAGGCAGGGATTTGACCTCTGTGGACTGAGAGCATCTAATTAAGGGATTTGACCAAGATCTTATAGCGATCAGGGCCCCAAGTCTCCGTTGTTGAAGTAGGCTCCAGTTCCTTACAACAAATACAACAAAAGGCTAACAACCATAAATTGGTCATAAAGTTCTCAATGTGACCACATTTTCCTTAATATCCAGAAAACAAAAACAGAGGCTCACCACAATAATAGGATTTCACATTATATTATGGAATCTTCAATTTGGGCTTGTGGATCACCATATACAGCGCTTCTATTCATCCAAGGGCCATTTGCTGACAGGTGAGAAGAGGATTGTGTGCTTGCGGCCTTGTTTTTTGTGAAAGAGTGGGTGAAGATTAAATTTATTTATTTATATCTCACCCTTTCCAAAAGGCTTAGAGCAACTTGCAATAATGCCTTTGTTAGGATAAGAAATCACAACATTTTCAATAACCAATTAAGCTATCTGAAACCATATAGCTAGAAGATAGCTGTTTTACAAAAGCAGCAATGAATGCCACTGTCAAAGCAAATCTAATCCAATGATTTGGTTTACAATACTGTACCTTTAAGGATGTTACTATCAACCATACTGAGTGCCTCTAAACATATGCAAGCAGGAAGGACCCAAACCACATGATACAGATCACTCTGCAACTCCAAAAGTTTCCTAATGAAAAGTTCCTCTTTCTTTGAGCAGAACAATTTCTGGACAAACGCAGGGAAATGGCATTGTTCAAGTGCAAACTGATTCTAGCAGTGAAATTCACCTGGATTCTACATAATGTTGGTAAGGCATTTTATTTTTTAAATTTACTGTACTTTTAACCTCCCTTGTATTTATTGCAGATAAATGGCAAGTTTGGCTGTTACAATTCTGAAGAAGTCTGTGAAGTGTTGTGTGTCCTTCATACAGGGAAAGTGCAGCAACTGTGACCAGTGGCTCTGTTGCTCTGTGACACAGAAAAAGGAGGATTCTTTACTCTTTTTCCCATGGAGGCTGATACATTCAAATCTGCCTAGATTTGGCCCACAAGGAATCTGAGTACAACAGTGAAGGACACAAAGTAACCAAACTCTTAAGTAGTGATAGTTATGCAGTCACACTTGTACTCTACAGATCCGATTACAATCAATGCATATTTTGTAATAAACCCAGATCTGACCAGTGAAAGGAGTTCATGTTTTTGTGTAATTTTTTTTTTGTCCAATACTTTTCTAGAAAAAGTGGGGGCACTTACGTTGGAATGAGGACTTTGCAAACAGATCTCCTAATTCTGTGCATTTAGCCCCCGACTTGAATAAACCAATGTTTGCCTCAGTTATACTACAATTGTAGATTTCAATAATGTTTTATAATTTATGGAAATGCCCTTTTAATACTAAACTGAAAAACTTTAAAGTTGCTAATGATTCAGTTCCTTAACTGAACTTCTCTGCTCTGCTTACCCTTTTCTTCCTCAGTGTACTACTTACATTTTTAAAATGTCAAAATCAGCAAGTGAAACTGTTTGTTCTGCAAAACCCAAAGACAAGTGTAACAATCTGGCAAGGCCATTTATGCACAATTTCTGAAGTCTGGTTGATGTTATAAGAACTGCTGCACTGGGAATGCCTCAGTGTGTGTGAAAAAAAAAATCACCATTTGCTGTCAAGGCTGTTTCACTCTCTCTCAGATCAGAAGTACTAGAGGACAGTTAAACTTTAATGGATATCATGTAAGCCCACAGACAATAGGATGGCTGTCACACAGGAGTAAAAAAGAAGATGAAATCAGCTTTTTCTAACTTCCCTGCAGGTGCTGGGACTTACAGCCATAGAATTTTCAGAAGAAGAACAAAGAAACAAAGATGTCTGAGACATTAAGGAGGGGGACCAGAGACACATGAAGGTTAAGCAGAAGGCAGGGGGATACTTTTCTACTGGGGCGGGGGAGAGGGGACCTTGTTTAATTGCGGAATAAACTAAGGAAGAAGGTAACTGGCTGCACAGGAAAGAGACTATATTTTTCAGAGAGAATGTGTGTAGATGGGAGATCCTGGGCTTCTTGGAGGGCACAGGCCAAAGAACATTCAAGACTGGTAAGAAACCTGAGGCAGAAAAATACATATGGTATGTATTACCTAGTCTAGATGGGTATATTCCTGTGCTAGCTAATGTGAATAAGATGCCTGAGAACACTTACAAGGTCTGTGTGCTGGTTCTCTTTTAGTTTGTGGCTACTAGGTTAGAGATCTACAAAGGCTAGGGGTGAGATCTGTTGTAGCAGGGTAGCTGGACCTCTCAGTCCCACTGCTGGAAAGGGTTAACAAAAGACTGCCCTGCTAGGACATCAGAGGTGTCAAAACAGAACAGTGCCGTGGCTTACTCAAACCAAAGGAATCTTAAAAGCACACATGAGTGTAACATATTGGGACCCAGATGCTGTAGCCTGGTGAATGTCCAGCTGAGCAAGATCTACTATGGTGGTAGCATAGCTGATTACACGCCATGCATATTTTGCAATATGTCTATAAATCTTTTGCTGGTACACTCCTTTCAGTGAAGTAGAAGGGCCTACATACAGTCACATAATTAATACCAAACTAAGTTTTTGTTTCTCTTCAACAGGTAGTGCTACAGATGTCTGCAAAGTTACTGTCTCACAACCCTCATTTAGGGAAGTGAATTATACTCCCAGCACCGTGAACATAACATGCAGTTTCTATGCTTCTGAATGCCCTGGACTTGCTCAAGTTCTGTGGTTTCGTTTTCTTGCTCTTAAGCATGAGGCTTTATGCACACCTATGTGCACAAACACTGGCAAATTCAAAGTGATTGGACCATCTAATGATAAAGCTTCACTTCAGATCAGCCATTTGACTGTAAATGACAGTGCTGTTTATTTCTGTGGAGTAGCATTTTCACAATCAGTTTCACCCACCTCTAAGCAAACCGGTGAAGGTACGACTCTGGTGGTAAGAGGTCAGTCAACTACTACTTTCTATAGCAATACTTTAAAATCCAAAATATTCTCTTCACTTATGTAAACATTCAGACATAGTCCACAAATTCATTTACTATAAATTAAAAATAATTAAAATCGCAAAACAGGGCCATGGTACCACCTAAGCTATTTGAATGAAATACGGTATCAACAAGAGTTCTGTATTTAGAGCCAAGATAAAATATCTCCCTAGTTTTAGTGGTAAAGCTAATAATAAGCATGTTTTAACAGTTTACTAACAGGGGGCACTCTTACATGTGCTCCAAGTGTGGACCGCTCTAATTAAAGTGCTACAGTGTCTCATGCATCAGCGTCCTTGCCCTTCAAAATGGTGGCAGGAGCACTTGAGTTAAAGCTTGTTCAACGAGCTTTAGTTTAAGCACCCCTGCCATCATTCTGAAGCGTGGGGGTGCCGATACACTAGACACTGGAGGCCATGGGAGCATGGTAATTACCACTGTAATTACAGCATGCTGGAGCACCCCGCAGCACATTTACAGGCACCCAGGATGCCGTACCCTCATCTAAATGTGAGTGATCCTCAGGAAATATTCTAGGAGTAGACTAGAAGATTTGTGCACTGCATCATACTATTTGTTCAATGTCAAAACTGCACACACCCTGCAACAAATTTCATAAAAGGGCATGGGTTTTGTTTATCAAAAAGGAAATCTCATAATGAGACAGACGCAGACTGAAAGAAAAAAAAAAAAGACTTCTGTTGAGAAACAGCCATTCTGGAAAGACTATCTATGGTATCTAGAGAAGGACCCTGGGGCAAGTTCACTATGTGACCAACATTTTCATTTCTGTGCCTCACTTTCCCACTTTTAAAAGAACACTCATGTTTCCAAGTTGTGGACAAAAAGCAAAGCAAAAGCAACCTTCCTCCAAAACCCCACAACACTGCCATCACCAAAAGACCTAATTAAATGGGTCCTGTCCTAAGAGCTCTATTTTCTGGGTACACACTTGCTGAGACATACTCCCTGTATTCCAAAATAAAAGTTCAAGTAAACATGGCTTTGTCAGACATTCCTTAAGAATCATATTCTAGACCAGAAGGCACAGGGAGTCATGGAGGACAAGCTTAAGTTTTGATCAGCTGGGAACTGAAGATTCATCATTAGAAACATGTTGATTTTTTTGATACCTAAATTACAACCAGGAGGTATTAATGTATTACTAATGTGTGTACAGCTTTTAGTTCCTCAGATAAATAGGGCTATGGTACAATGTATTATTTTTACTAAAAATATCATGCAAATAGAAACAGCTATACATCATTCTAACACTTTTTTTAATGAATAGAAAGGACTGAAAAGGACCACATTGAAGAATACATCCTCATGATAGTCCTCTCATCCTTACTGTTTCTATACAACACCACAGTATTTGCAGTATTTATAGTCTACTACAAGGTAGGTTTAAATTTGATTTTTCTGATTTTTCTCCCATCTTTTAAATAACTTTCATGTTTTCTATTCAGAAGAGCCAAGGGCAATACTGGTTTGCAGAAGCATTTGCAGATGAGTTTTATATAACATGCAAATGCCCCCAAATCCTCATTATAACGATCTCCGCTATTTATGGTTTTTCAAAAAATAAGGAATTAAAAAAAGGGAACGATAGCATTATTTAGTTTAAACAAAAAAAATCTAATATAGTTATCACATCAGCCCTGTGGATTTATTTCTATTGGTAAACTAATAATGGAATTTATATAGACATATGTGCAAGCTGCAGTGAAATAAACACTAACAACAAAATTTAAGATTTCCTTTAAAGCAATTTTTTTTTTTTTTAAGTGCCATCATAATCAGTACTTGGGACTTAAATAACCTTAATAAAAGTTACAGAGATAATGAATCCTTCAATGTTATCGCAGGGCAATGCATTTAGCATTACTACAGCATTACTTCAGTTATTACTTGGAATTTAAAGCTCTGTAAGTAACTCTGTCATTTTCTTGCAGTCAAAATCTAAATTCCTGAAGAAAACTGAGAGAGAAAATGAAAGTGGAGAGCAACATGTATGTTAATATTGACTGTATTCATTTGGTGCATCTTCAACTCGTAGATTTGGTTTTTTTCCCTTCTTTCAACTATAAATCTTGAATATACATTAAGCATGGATTTAAGTTGGGTGACGGAAGTTTCAAATAAAGGGCGGGGAATCTATAGAGCTAATAAACCCTGTAGGGTTTCATAGATTTCATAGACATTAGGGCTGGAAGGGACCTCAGAAGATCACTGAGTCCAGCCCCCCGCCCAAAGGGCAGGGAGTCAGCTCGGGTTATAGGATCCCAGCAAGATAAGCATCCAATTTGCTCCTGAAGGTGTTCGATGTGGGTGCTTGAACCACCTCCAACGGCAGGCTATTCCAAACCTTGGGGGCCCGGACAGTAAATAAATTCTTCCTTATGTCCAGCCTGAAACAGTCTTGCATCCCTTGGGGTGCTCTGGTAAACAAATGTTCCCCCAGATCCCGATGAGCACCCCTGATAAACTTATAGGTGGCCATCAGATCACCCCTGAGCCTGCGCTTTTCCAGGCTAAACAGCCTCATAGATCTCAGCCTGTCGTTGTAAGGTCTGTTTTCTTGACCTCTGATCATGCGCGTGGCTCTTCTCTGGACTCTCTCAAGCTGCTCCACATCCTTTTTCAATTGTGGGGCTCAAAACTGGACGTAGTACTCCAGCTGCGGCATCACCAAGGCCGCATACAAGGGGAGAATGATGTCTTGGGATTTGCTTGAGAAGCACCTATGGATGCAAGCCAGCCTTTTGGTCACTTTACTAGCCACAGCATCACATTGAAGGCTCATGTCCATCTTGTGGTCAATGATGACCCCCAAGTCTTTCTTCTGTAGTGCTAGCCAGCATAGCACTGCCGAGCCTATAAGGGTGCTGCAAGGTTTTTCCTCCCAAGGTGGAGAACCTTGCATTTTTCAGTGTTAAACACCATCAGGTTCTTGTCTGCCCATTTCCTGAGCCTATCCAGGTCAGCCTGGATTGTCCTCCTGTCTTCAGGTGTGGATGCTTTGCCCCAAAGTTTGGTGTCATTGGCGAACTTGGCCAGTCCACTTCTAACTCCAATGTTCACATCATTAA